ATCCATTAGTAACAGCAACACCACTAAACTGCTGTACTATGACTCAAATGAAACTTTCCTTTAGATTCTTCAGTATCAATCTTCCCCAGAATAATTAATCATTCAAGAAACTGCTAACCTAAGGATGTTCTTTTTCTTTCATAATCATAGAAGTGTCTACTTCTAATCAATAGTTTTAATATGATTGGTTAGAAATCAGGCTAAAGGAAATGTTTTTATCCATTGAGAAACATGGAAGTACCCAGTTCTAGAAGCATTGACTGTATAAGGCGCAGTTATATTGCTTGTGTAAGCAACCGCTGATGTTTCTTGCAATGGGTTCATGTAAGTGGATTGATATTACAGAATGGTCTAGAATATAATAGAGCTGGAAGGGACCTTGGAGGTCTTCTAGTCCAGGCCCCTGCTCAAGCAGAAGAACCTATACAATCTCAGACAAGTGACTGTCTAGCCTCTTTTTAAAAATCTCCAGTGATGGAGCGCCCACAATTTCTGGAGGCAAGCTGTTCCAGTGGTTAATTGTCCTCACTGTCAGGAAGTTTCTCCTTAATTTCAGGTTGCGTCTCTCTTTGATCAGTTTCCAACCGTTCTTCTCCTGCCCTCTGGTGCTTTGGAGAATAACGTGACCCCCCTCTTCTTTGTGGCAGCCCCTCAAATACTGGAATACTGCTATCATGTCTCCCCTATTTCTTCTTTATTTAGACTAGTTGAAAGGAACTTCAGATGTTACTTGGACTGACTCTGCTCAGGACAGAATGACCTACAACAATTCTGACATGATCGTGAAGTTGGTTTCCTCTTCAGTAAAAGAGAACTCATCACTTCATTAGGCAGACTGTTCCATTGGCTAAAGGTTCAACATCAGGCAATTCCTCCCAGTATTTAGACTGAACCTATTTTCTTTATAGCTTATTCCACTGGTTCTGCTCCTGCTCTCTGGATAGTGGCAACTCTTCAGATATTTGAAGACAGCTATCTCCCCTGAGTTATCTTTGCTTTAAGGTAAATATTACCAGATTGTCAGTCACACTCTGTAGACCAAACTAAGAAATCAACTCCACAAAAAGGCCTAACTTTTATTAATATTGGTCATAGTAACAGAATTTTGCAAGTCATTATCATCCCACCCTTTATATGCATGTGAACTAGGAAAGAATCTGCCTGAGTTGCTGACACCTACACTACCTTCTGGTTTTAGACTTACACCAAGTTTTTTCCCCTGGCCACTTTGATAATGGCTCTGGCCTAGCTTGTCAAAATTATCTTCCTTACTTGCTACACAAATCCTTTAATTATTTTTCCTAGGGTTGGTTTCCAGACCCTCACCAACTTGGCAAACCTCCTCTGAACTTGCTCCAGTTTGTTCCAGAGTAGAGTCCTATAAAAAAGAACCATATATTATAAATCTGTTATTATGATGGGTGATTGGAATGGAGTTATAGATGCAAGTAAGGACAAGAGAGGATTTTCTAAATCTTCCAATCACGCTAAATTACCTAAAGTTTTCTTTGATTTGAAGGATGATTTGGAACTCACAGATATTTGGAGAGAATGGAACATGGAGGACAGAGATTTTACCTTTTTTAAGGATAGGCATCAGTCGTTTTCTAGAATTGATTTTTTTTTAATTACTACTGATCTCTTTTCTAGGGTCAAGAATGTCAACATTTTTCCTAGGACATTGTCGGATCACAGTCCTCTATGGCTGGAGTTATTTGCTGAAGAAGGGAATAGAAGATCTTGGAGGTTGAATTAGAACTTATTTAGATATGAGGGGAGTTCACAGAAATGTAGAGAATATTTGAAGGAATTTTTTGTTTTGAATATGCATAAGGGTACCTCAATGGCTATGGTTTGGGATGCTACCAAAGTTTATATGGGAGGGGTTTTGATCCACATGAATAATGCGCATAGGCGCAAACAGGCGAAAAAACGTGAAGAGTTGGAAGAAGAGATCAAAGTGAAAGAGAAGGCTTTCATTTTGAATCCATTGGATAATAGGTTAAAGGTTTCTATAAATATGCTTAAGGAGCAATTTAACATGTTAATGGCTGATCAGACTACAATTAATTTAAGTTACATGAAACATAATATATTTTGTAATGCAAATAAGCCTGGTAGGTGGTTGGCTTATCAATTACGGAAGAAACAGAAGTCAAGGATTATAGAGAAAATAGATTATAAAGGTAAAGAGGTTTATCAAAAAATTTGATTAAAAGGAGTTTTTTAGATTTTTATTCAAAGTTATATGCTAATGAAAGCATACAAGTTTCAGATATAGAAAAGTATCTACAGGCAGCACATTTTCCTAGACTTTCAAATGACCAACGAGATGAGATGAATTGTTTAATTACTTATGAGGAAATTATTTGGGCGATTAAACTGTTAAAGTTTGGTAAGGCTCCTGGTACAGATGGATTAACAGCAATCTATTATAAAATGTTATCTGAAGAAATGATAGAACCATTAAAGGAACTTTTTAATAATATTTTGTTGGGAGCAGAGGTACCTCCGTCTTGGAGAAGGGCTTTTATATCGTTGATCCCAAAGGAGGATCAAGATCTTACCCAGCCTAAGAATTATAGACCTATATCTCTTTTGAATACAGATTATAAGATTTTTTTTTGAAAATATTGGCAAATAGATTAATGCATGTTTTGAAGCAATTGATCCATAGTGATCAATCTGGATTTATAATTGGGAGATATATGAAATATAATGTAAGACAAATTGTTAACCTAATTGAGTATTTGGATACTCAGTCCCTGCGACTTTGATATTTTTGGATGCTGAAAAAGCTTTTGATCAATTAAATTGGCAATTTTTATTGAGAGTTGTAGAGAAAGTGAATTTTGGGGATAAATTTTTGTATGCTCTTAAGGCTATATATCAACAACAATCGGCACAAATTATAATTAATGGGGGATTAACAGAAGCATTTAAAATTGAAAAGGGTACAAGACAGGGATGTCCATTATCCCCATTGTTATTTGTTTTAACAATGGAGATTTTACTTATTAAAATTTGTGAATCATCTACAATAAAGGGAATAAAAATAAATAAGAATGATTATAGGTTGAGAGCTTTTGCCGATGATTTGGTTGTGACATTATCTCAACCGACAGATTCGGTAAGGGATTTGGTGGAAATCATAACCCAGTATGGGAAAGTCTCTGGTTTTAAGGTAAATAACAATAAGACTAAAATACTACCGAAAAATATGTCTATGAAGGAAAAGGATATGTTAGCTAAATTAACAGGTTTTGAAATAGTGAAAAAAGTTAAATATTTGGGAGTATACATTATAGCTTCTAATGTTAAATTGTACAAAAATAATTATGAGACATTATGGGTAAAAGTGCAAAAGAATTTAAGTGATTGGAAAAAACTACAGTTATCTTTGCTGGGGAGAATCTCAGCGGTTAAAATGAATGTTCTTCCAAAGTTTCTTTTTTTGTTCAAATGATACCTATTTTGAAAAAAGATGCCAACTTGGAGGAATGGCAGAAGGGTATTAATAAGTTTATTTGGGCAGGGAAAAAACCAAGAGTTAAGTTTAAGATTATACAAGATGCACGGGAAAGAGGAGGACTTAAGGCGCCTAATTTAAAATTGTATTATGATGCGGTGGCTTTAACTTTGATTAGTGATTGGCTTAACTTAACAAATAAAAATATACTTCTTGAAGGATGGGATTTATTATATGGATGACATGCATATTTAATTTATAATAAAAAAGTAGATCAGGTTTTTAAATCTCATATTTTAAGAAACGCTTTATTATGTATCTGGAAGGAGTATTATTATAGGCTAAACTATAAAATTCCAATTTGGGGGATTCCTGAACATGCGATAGAGGGGGTATCTAGGAGTGTGAATTTGGAGAGGATTTCTTATAAGGAATTACTTAGTTTGGTAGGGAAGGATTGGCAATTAAAATCTTTAGCTGAGTTGAAGCAAGAAAATATTGTACACTCTTAGTTTCAGTATAATTAATTGTTAATTAGGTGGAGTTTAGATCAAAAGGTTGGTATTACTTTAGGGGATGTGAATTTGGTAAAACAGATTAAAGATCAAACTCGAGCCCGTATAAAGAGAATTTATAATGTTTTAATAGAATTGGATTCTGAAACGGAGTTAGTTAAAGACTGTATGGTAAAATGGGCTCAAAATATTCAAGAGCCGATTCTATTGGACACATGGGAGACAATTTGGGTTAGAAATGTAAAATTTACTCAAGCTCAAAATTTAAGAGAAAAATTTTATAAAATGTTTTATAGATGCCATTTGGATCCTCAAAAGCTGTCCTGCATGTATCCTAATTTACAGCCCAAATGTTGGAGATGTGGAAGCTTAGATGCAACTTATTTTCATATTTGGTGGACTTGTAGAAATATAAAAGCTTTTTGGATTAAGATTTGGTGGAACATTCAAAAGATTTTTAAGAGAAAGATAAAGTTTACGCCACAATTATTTTTGTTAGGTGTTATTGTAGATTTTGATGTTAAAGAAATTAATTTGATGTTGAATCTTATAACAGCTGCAAGATTATTGGTGGGGCAATATTGGAAGAAAGATTCTTTGCCTACTATGGAAGAATGGATACTCAAGGTGTCTAATTTAGCAGAAATGGCAAAAATCTCCGCTTATTTGAAGGACCATTCACAAGAAAGATACATTTCGGTTTGGAGAAGATGGATAGATTATATTCAGAATAAATATGAGACTAAAAAGTGTTATCTAGCTTATGAGTAAATTTTAGATTATTATTAATAGTTTAATATGGTTGAATTTATATTAGTTTTAGTATTATGGTTTAATTATAGTATTATTTTCGTTTTTAATTTGTTAATATTTATCTTGAAAAGGAGTTAAAGTATGTTATGGATTTGATTGTTAGTATAGTTGGGTAATGTTAGTTAGATTATGATTGTTTATTTGTAATCCTGTAATCAGTTCTGGGAAGTGGGGGAGGGGTGTGGTGGGAGGGATTTGGGATATATATTGTATTAAATCTTTAAAACTTTTAATAATAATAATAATAAAAGAACCATATATCCAGAATTTTAGTTCTGCTACCTTTTCTTGCTTATTTCAGTGATTCTGTGATGCCTGAGTTGCCTACACGGTTTGGTTCCAGCTGAAAAAGACAGTCCTGACACCCCTCCCTCTGAATGAGAAGAGTATCCAAGTAGCAGTCCTAAGGCATTAATGGAACACCCTTGACAACCCCATTCTTTCAAAGAGGGGGAAATGTCTGCTTGTATTACATCATGCTGAGCAGCACCTAACAAAGTTCAGGCATGTTGCTGTTGCTAACTGGCAGGTGAAGCAGATTTCTGTAATAGTAGAAATGCTTCAAAGCATCACTTGCAGAGGAAAGCAGTACTGGCATATGTAGCAAATCAAAGCAAAAGAGGCACTGAAACCATATTATTTTACACCGAAGCCCAACAATGGTAATTCATCATCCCTGTATTACCTAGTTCAAACACTGACATTGATACACTGAAAAATACTTCAACCTACAAATATCTTCAGATACCCAAGAAGCTGTTTTTATCATTTTTGTGGCCATTCTTCAGACAGATCCCCACAGGCAGTTCACATAGGGAACATTTGAGAAATGGGAAATGTAGTTCAGTTTTTGAATCGGTTTAAAACTGCAAAGTATGTGCTTTTTAAAATGATATTGGAAAAGTTAGTCTTCCTGGTTGTGAGGTAGTTCTACCTCCCTACCTCACTCCACCTGTAAGCTGCAGGGAGAACTGCTCATTCCAGACCATGAGTAAGGCTTATGTTAATAATTGCTACTGGTTCTAGTAGCCTTGTGGTATACAATAAGTATGGTACTTTTATAAGCCGAATTGCTTTACAGAAGTAAAATTGTGTTTTTCACATTTATATTAGCTTCCCTCCTGGTTAAGTCCGCAGATTCTTTCCACATTCCTTTGATATACTTTACTCTTGTCCTGAACAAATTTAAGAACATACTGACATAATACTGTAATATTTTGTTTTAGTGAGATAGAGAAATATGAGAATTCATTTTCTTCATCTGCCAGGAAATGGATGTTCAAACCCTTCATAAAAGAAGCTCCATTCCAAATGATTGTCGAGCATCAGAATTAACAGAAGTGTATAATAAAACCACTGAGCCATACAAAGTGAGAAATAGCTTCTTTCTTTGTGTTACTTTAGGATGAGGATAAATATTATCTTAAAACAGAGCAAGCATTGTGATATTTAATTCTTTAAATCTTATTAAAGAAGCCCAAGTCAAAACCATAGATACTGAGGGGGCAGAAGCCTCCAATTCACCCTTGCCTAAAGAAATGTAGGAAATTGTACTGCCGTTGTGATTTCACTTGGATTTGGCACATTCCCAAGCTTTCTCAGAAAAGCCACAAATTATTCCTTTTATATAGCACAAGTGCTAGATTTCTATAGAATGTGCAAGAAATATTTAAATCTTGCTCCAGCTGCTAACCATACTATCTTTTTTCTCCTCTGGAAAGTTTATGAAAGTTTTCCATGTGACCAAGAGTTCCTCAAAATCTGGATGAGCACAGACTGTTTTTCCCAATCTAGCAAAGAATTTCATTGGCATTGCAATTTTGCCAGAAGCACTGAAGACCGTAAACAGCCCACCTCACCCCTTTGTTACAGTTGAGATTTTTTTCCCTGTAAACAGCTGTCTGAGCAAAAGGTTCTCTTTTTTTTTCTCACTCAAACCAACATCCTACTTACAAACAACTCTTTCCTTTGTGCTGGTCTCAATGAAAGTTTGTTGAAGAAGTTTTGCTTCAAACCCAACTTTGGAATAGCCCAAAGCTTTTCCTGTTGTTGACAGTGAGTTTTAGAAGTTTTCACAAGCCGTAATAAAGGATTTAGTGCCTCTCTTAGGCAATATGGTGTAAAATGTGTCCATTAACCAACTGTACAGCCAGTCATAGCAGCTTAGCAGAAATCATGGCTGTGCTTGCACAAAGATACCAACTATGGTTAACAGAACTGTCTAAACAATTGGCTTTTACAAAACATCAAGGCATAAATTAGCAAAAGATATTTTTAGCCTAACATACTATGCCAACTCAACAACCAATCACAGACGGTTCTTGGCGTAAATTGTAACTGATGAAAGTGGTTTGCACCAAAATATTCAGCACCGTATATACTTAGGCATAAAGGGTTTCCCTTCAAACCCTCCAGCAGCATTTTAAAGTAGATAAATTTGCCCAGAAAATGACAAATGGAACCTTTGAGAGATGAAAACACCCCCCCCCTTACAGTTAGGAAGAGTTTGTGGTGATATTTGGTGGCCCAGTTGCTCTTTCAAGGAATTCATTTGGTGCTTAAGAATGATAGATACTGGTAGATCCTCCAAGGAGTGACACTAACTGGACCACCTGGTTTCTTACATAATATTGTCCCTTGATGCATCTGACAGATTTGAAAAGGCAGCTCTATGAGCAGGGATATAGTGAAGGAAGCATAGACGACAGATGGAGGCTGGGCAGGCTTTTCCATGGAGAAAAGTGTGTTGTTGTTAACTAATTTAGCTCACTGGCAACACCGGAGGCTTAAAAGAAAAAAATAATTGTGCTATAACAGAGCTGTTGCTGAGAACAGGCTACATGTAGATAAGAGTTCAAGAGTCTTCCGAAAGAGGAGGTTGACTTTTCCTCCCAGAACAGTTCCTGGGCCAAATCAAGTACTAAAGTTCCTTTATAACTTGTTGCCTCTTCCTTTGGATACCAGAAATTCCCTGCATCCCTTTAGAAACCAACAGAAACAATTGCTATTCTAGTTCTGAGAGCAAAGAACTTCAGCAGATAGCTATGGAATAGCAACAGCCCAGAAGGCAGCCAACAATTTTTGTCAAACTTTAGCATCGAAGGCAAGCAGAAGAAATATTTTCCATGATAGAAAGATCTTCTCATTTTTTCCATTTGGGTGTAGTGGCATTTTGTTCATTGTTTTTCTCTCACTAAGTAGCTTGGATAAACTCTTGCTTGCTAAGATCCTACATTTTCCCATAACTGAATTCCTGTGAATTATTAGAACACAAAAAAACTATCGGGCTTATATTGGCACTATATCTCTCAATATTTAATTTAATTGTATAATTCAAGTAACAACATCAAGGTCTTCTTCCTCTTCATACAACAGAGGAAGCTGGAGATTAGAAACCCCTCTGAATCAATGTCTACACTCCGGAATCATCATGGAAGTTTTCAGGCACCTTTTTATTGGTCTGTATAACAAGTCCTTTGCTTATTCTGCTATTATTGCCAACAGTATTATCCAACCATTGGAGAAGATTTCTGTGCGCATCTTCTGTATTGTTATTAAAATAATACCATTTCAGTGCTTTTCTTCCTGGTTTTGGGCAGCTTTGTGTATTAAATTCTATTTGTGCATTTACTTTAGCCCAGTCCTATGTTTACTATAATATGGAGCCACTGTTTTTTTTTTTAAAAAAAAACCTCCCAAACTGTGCTGAAATATTCCTGCCTCTCGGTATTAGTCTTTCTCTTTGATGATAAAGATTTGATCTCATTTCTTGTGTCCCCAATTCCTTTGCCTTGAAAAAGTTTGTCCAACAGATGAACTTCGAAACTAGTTGCTGTTGTTGTCTTTTAAGGAAAGAAAAAGCCCAGTGAGAAACAAAAAAGGCATTTGTTTGTAGGAGATGAGCACAACAGCTACAAATACTCATGATCACCAAGCATTCACAAGTGTTCACAAGGATGAGGTTGTAGAATCCACCACTTCACGACCATTGCACACAGTTGGGACATATTGAGAAGTCGACCCTGGGAGACACAGATTGGAAAAAGATTTCAAAGGACAGTAATTAAGAATCTCAGACTTAACTACGGTATGTGTCAAACATCACCATTCACAAACCACCCAATTAGAAACCGCTTTCTAAAGAAGTTCACAGTAGGCAAACTGTTCAAACGAAAACACATTACATCCAGGAAAATTGCCAGAATGTGCATAATTGAAAAGGACTAGACCAGGGGTAGGCAACCTTGGCTCTTTTACGACTGGCTCAGGAATTCTGGGAGTTGAAGTCCACGAGTCATAAAAGAGCCAAGGTTGCCTAGACAAAAGAGTGTATCTTTGGAGAAATCTGTCAAGCAAAGCACATAAAATGTGAAATAGTCATGGAAAAGGAATAGAAATTGGCTGAAGCAAACTTTAAAATGGGGAAGAGGATGAAATTGGTCTTTTCATTTATCACTATTTTCAAAAGAGCTAGACATTTTACCCAGTACAGGTGACCTGTTCATCTAGTTTGATTTCTAAAATGACATCTGGCATATTCTGTTATCTTTACCCTTGAGAAGCTCTTGAGCAGCTGATATGCCTGCAGGATCTAATCTAGCCCACCAATTCTTATGTTCAAAAGCCTGATTGGATGATGGTGCTTTCTCATGCTGACAAAGGGCAAAGGAATAAATGAGAGCAGCAGTGCCAAGACAGTAGTAGTAGTAGTAATAATAATAATAATAATAATAATAATAATAATAATAATAATAATGTTGGAAGGGACCTTGAAGGTCATCAAGTCTAACCCCCTGCTCAGGAAGGCAGGAAACCCTACCCCATTTCGGACAAATGGCTGTCCACTCTCTTCTTAAAAACTTCCAGTGTTGGAGCATTCACAGCTTCTGGAGGCAGGTTGTTCCACTGGTTAATTGTTCTCACTCTCAGGAAGTTTCTCCTTAGTTCTAGGTTGCTTCTCTCCTTGATTAGTTTCCACCTGTTGCTTCTTGTCCTGCCTTCAGGTGCCTTGGAAAATAGCTTGAATTCCCTCTTCTTTGTGGCAGCCCCTGAGATATTGGAATACTGCTATCATGTCCCCCCTTGTCCTTCTCTTCGTTAAACTAGACATACCCAATTCCAGCAACCGTTCCTCATATGTTTTAGCCTCCAGTCCCCTAATCATCTTTGTTGTTCTTCTCTGTACTCTTTCTAGAGTCTCAACCTTTTTTTTACATCGTGGTGAGAGGCCTTTGGAGAAGACAGGAGAGCATCTTGAAAACTACAAACAATATATGCTCTAATCTCTATGGAGATTCTCAGTCATCCAGATCACGGTTGTCCCAAAAGTGCTTTTTCAAGAGACTTCCTTGTTTTTTCTTGGAGATGTTTCGCTTCTCATCCAAGGATGGAAGGATTTCCTACCATCCAGTCAGAGCTGAAGAAGCTTCTTGGATGAGAAGCAAAACATCTTCAAAGAAAAAAACAAGAAAGTCCAGTTGCCTCCTGAAAAAGCGCCTTTGGGACATATATGCACTAATAATTGTAAGAATTTAAAATGCAAACTATAGACACTAGAAACATAATCACATTAGACATGATTACTATTACTGAACAGAAAAAAAAGTGTGATTCACGGATGTCACAATATCAGCCAATAGTTCACATGGAAAAAAGTAACAAAATATGGGATTTGCAAATCACAGTTGAAAGGCTTTTGAAGAAAAAGTTAGCTATAATACCAACAGGAATCAGAGCTCTTAAAGCCTCAACAAAGGGATTCTCCAAATATTTGGAAGTTTTACTGGACTTGATACCACTGTCTTTGCAAAAATAAATAAAAATCCCTACTTTGCTTGGAACTTCCTCCATGACACAATAATGTTGCCAAGGCTTTTGATTAGAACCCAAATACCCAGTCTAAATGCTGTGATACAAATTGATTGAATAGACAGCGTAACAAGAAGAACAGTATGTTGGCCATGCATTGTTAAGAAAGTGTTCTATGAGTGTTTCCTAACAAAGAGATTTAGTTTCTCATAGTGTAAGCCAGGGGTAGGCAACCTTGGCTCTTTTATGACTCGTGGACTTCAACTCCAAGAATTGCTAGCCAGCATGGCTGGCTCAGGAATTCTGGGAGTTGAAGTCCACGAGTCATAAAAGAGCCAAGGTTGCCTACCCCTGGTGTAGGCTATTGTTACTCTCTCCTTATATTCTCATTTTATCTCTGAAAAGAGTCTTGATTTAACTGTTTTGCCAGGACATATTTACTGGGGAAACAATAACTAAATAAATGGCCTGCATCACTGAATTCAAATGGCTTACAAAGATGGTTCCGCATTTTATGTCCAGAAGCAGAGAAGACAAATTCTGTGGCAAAATAACTAGTTTTCATCTCTGTGTAGTTTCTTCTTTTGCTGATTATTTTCACAGCCCAATTGCTCTGTGAAAACTTATGACATGATTTCACATTCAGAGAAGAGCCAAGAAAGAGAAGAGACTGGAAACTGCCACTTTGTGTTTTGCATTATGCTCAAATCCAAAACTGTGATTACTCTAATTACAGTTAGTGAAAACAGGTCAGATTTTTGAACTATGATTTCAAAGTTTCCATCGAGCACACCTAAGCCTCAGTTCATCAGAGATCAAAACCAGCTGGGTTAGTCAAAATTGAAAAAAAGAAAGGAAAAGAAAATCTTCTTCAGAGGAGAAGGATAAATACTGCAACTTGACTTCATCCTACCAGATTTATAGTTTTGCATTATGTGCAAATGTAGCCACAGGTGACAAAACCAACAACTATAAGCAGTTATTTTTGTAATTTCCCAGGAACATCTGTTGCTTTTCAGAGTGGTGCATTTGTTAACATCTACATGAACTCCCAGAGATTTAAGACACTGTAGCTTAAAGACAATTCAGCCGTGCAACAGTCAGAATAAGTTGCTGCTGTAGGCAAATTTATCCGCTGAGTACACCCAGTAAGGAATATCTTTGCTCTCAGTCATACTGCAGATAGCACTAGCACTAGCACTAGCACTAGCAAGAGCACGTAAGACTTATATATCACTTCACAGTGCTTTACAGCCTTCAGCTGTTTGTCAGCATATTGCCCTCAACAATCTGGATCTTCATTTTACTGACTTGAGAAGGATGGAAGGCCTAAGTCAACCTTGATCTGGTGAGACTTGAACTTCCAAACTGCTGGCAGCCAGCAGTCAACACAAGTAGTCTGCAGTACTGCATTCTAACCACTATGCCACCAGGACTCTCAAATATAAGGTGAGAATCATTGCTTATACGGACTCTCTCACACACTCACCCTGCGAGTGGCTGGAGCCTGCAGCTGTCACACTGAATCGGTTGGTGGAAACTCGATGGCTGGCTATGTTCTTCTGGGGCTGGAACAGAATGATATGCAGCTTGGGAGTGAAGAGGCAGCCAAGAACTACTGTGCCACTTAGGCTAACTGAGATGCACATTGTCGTAGTCTGAACCTGTAAAGGGGAAAAGAAAGAAGCAAACCAGTCCAGCAACCTGAAGCATAAAGCAAGGACATGAAAACAGGGATGGATCTACAGGTGCTTTAATTATCCATATGAAATAGTCAGTTGGTCCACTTTGGGAAGAAATGTTCATGTAAAGCCCAATCCCAACAACAATGATAATCTTTGGGCAGCCTGAAGGACATTTATGCTGTCTCCCTGCCATGTTCACTGAACAAGCTTCCTTGTATCTCTAAATGCTTTTTGGTCCACTTGAAATGAGAGCAAACTGTATCATAGGTATGGGGGCCTTAAGGTATTTGTAGGATTGGATGATTAGCCATGTTGGTAGAGCCCTGTGCTTGCACAAAAGGAAACATTTTTAATGTCTTTTCCTTTTCTTAAGGAAGAGCAAACTTGTTGCAGACATGGCTAAGAGGCCTTGTAAAGGAATCAACTAAGAAAGGGAGTCTGGACCTCCTTAAGAAAGTGGTTGAAGGAGTTCCTGAGGACAGTAGAGGTGCACCTCTGCTGGTAAGGAATGAGTCCTTGTGGGAGAGATGCTGGAAATGCCCAGATTTGCAGGAGAAAAGTTTGCAAAACTTTCCATCAGTCCTGAGAGTTGAAATATAGCATTCTGGGAAAGTGACACAGGACTCTTCCTTATCCCCCCCCCGTCCCCCCAATTCTGCAAATAGCCCTGAATATTGATATAGGCAGAATTAATTCCCTCCTAGTAGAAGAGGGGAAAAGGGAAGAAGAAAAACAATGTCCTGTGCCTCCTACCTTGACCTTCACAAGCTGATGGATGTGATGGATATTCAATCATAGAATCTCCCTATTACTATTTCCACTATTAGATTGCTATGTAACATACTAAGCCTTCTTCAAAGCTACATATGGCTTTTGGGATCCAGTATCTTCTCAAACAGCAATTGATAAAGATATATGGAAAAAGTAAGAAGCTTAACACCAGTTTAAAAATTAGGAAATATAACTATTCCCAATTTTCAGGAAAAAAATAGAAAACCCATGCTGTCCATTTGCCCAATACAGCTGTGTCTATTCTGAATTATTTTCCTGCAAAGATCTTGTCTAGCCAGAAATAAGATTGGCCCACAGCTGTCCAAATATTTCTCTGAGCTTGACCAATATGGTGCCCCAGTGCAGTAATCCAATTCTAATCCAATTTAAGCTTGGAAGAATTAAACTATTGGTAGTTGCTGCTTAAATGTCAAAATGAATACATAAAAATATACAAAAAGAAGTGGGTGGTTAAAGTGTAAGAAAGACTAGCAGAGATTTATACAATGTGGTGAAAGAGACTCATCTCAAAAATTAAGTAATCCTTTTTTGCACTCCATCAATGCATTTGCCATGTTGTCAGAAGTCAATTCCCACAACATATAAATGGATTTTGTGCAAGAGAGTGTGAAATATGAAATAAAAAATATTATAAGAAAGCCTCAGGAGACCCAGCTGACTTCAGGAATACACAAATAATTTATTTTTAACTTCTTCAGTCAATTAGGAATTAATGTATTTTCACAATAGCATTACTGATTAGGAGGTAAAAAGGAAAGCTAGTTTTAACAATATGAAATGAGTGTATTGACAAAAAAACCCTCAGCCACAATTACTTTTATACTTGTAAATCCTCCTACTTAATAGTCTGTACCTCATTTAAAGTTTGTAACTAGTATGTACATCTTCAACTGTAACACAACAATGAGTTAGCTCAGCATGAGGAAATACAGTGGGATCCCTGAAAATATAGGCTGGATAGAACAATCAAGAAACAAATTTATAACTTACCACCAGGCCAATCTAAAGTCTTGGAGGAAAAATAAGGTTCAGTCAGGAGTAATCTTGCCTTTCACAGATTAATTCATCATCTTGGTATTTCACATCCTGTAACTTATTCTAGGAATTTTTCGCTGTTCGTTCCATAGAAGTCTAAAGGTATTCAGGAAGTTAGAAACCTAAGAATTTATCTCCAAGCACCAGCTATTGTTTAATTCCCCCTGAAAACATCCAAAGTTTGCTCCTCGTCTATGTTCTTATTCTGCTTTTGTGGCTGGCTTCATACTCTGTGCTGTGTTTGTCTAAGCTCTTGTATCTAAGCTGCAACCATTTGAATGACAACTAGATGGCAACAAAGGATTTTTGCAGTCCTCTTATGAAAGTCCTACTTTTGTTTCAGTGCTCTCTGAGAGTCTGGTTTATCTATTGTAGTGCATTAATACCGGCAACTGTGATTTATTTGGCAATTTATGATTAAACTAAGCCAAGGTTTCAGAATGGTATGTGAATCCAGTCTATTACAAAGGTTAAACCTGGTTCCTCTAAGGATTTTGTTTTTCATATTTGTTTATGTACTTACCTCTACATTCCATGCCACCCAGAGATTTTAGACAACTTACATTCCAAGCATAGGGAATGTAAGGGATAGGCAGATGTGGATGTTTGATGTTATTACAGATATCATCGCAGGATGGAATTATTATTATTATTTGCAAAGAAGAGATGCATTATCTCTCAACAGGTTCTGCTTCTGAGCTACCTGGAGTAATGTGCTATGTGGAGTAACAGAGCACAGTAACAGAGCAACGTCTACAGCTACGTAATGACAATCACTATGTTTCTTTAATAAATCCTTACAGCAGGTGTCTTCAGACTTGACCCTTTTATGATTTGTGGACTTCAACTCCCAGAATTCCTCAGCCAGTGTGCTCCCATACTATTAGTACTAAATAACAACTTCATAACCCTGACTCCACACTAATAACCAAGACCTTCAGCTTCTGAAATTGATTTGTAGAGCGGGATTAAGAACTCTGAAGCTTTTCGTCTGATTTCTCTCTTAGCCAGATGAGATCCCAATGTGAAGATCTCCCATTTCATGTGGGAAAATTATCTCTCTCTGATTATTTTAAAGGAAGCGTTGCTGTGTGAGATTACTAAACAGTAGACTCTATTCCCAAAAAAGTTAAGGAAAAATAATCTAGATAGCTCAAGAACAGCATTTCTCAATCTTCATTATAGCAGTGGAAATTTTTTCAGGTTTCCTCATAAAACTGAAAAAAAGAAATTCTACTATTTTAAGAGTCACTTCAATAGTTTGGCCCCTTAAAGCAGCTGCAGCAGTTTTTCAACTATCATATGTTTATTCATCTGAGCTACACAAATCCAACTGGCAATAAAGAAAGATCTCTTTGCCTTTTTAATAAAAATCTCACCGGCCCTAACACATGCTTGGTCTTTAGTAAATTAGAATTTGCTAATAAACCCATCTTCTGCAAAGTTCCTCCCAGAAACACAGATGATTGTTAACCAACAACTTTAAGTGACAAGAATATGATTCAAGAATTTGCAACTCCAATTAGGCAGTGGGATTCAAATGTATTAGAGAACTATCTACAAGCAGACAGAACACCCACCCTTCTCAAGCATTATGTGGAATTAAATTACCCACTCTTAAGGAAGCTTAAGATGGTGCTTAATCTGAATGAGAACATGTTAATTTAATGTACTTAATACCCAAAGGCAAACAAGCTAACAAGAACTATGCCAGTTGCCCAGTTAAAACAAGAGTAATGCAACCAGAAAACTCATTATATAGCAATTCCATTTGAAGCCTTTCACATTTGTCATTTAAAGATTTCTAGTATGAGGCAGGAGGAGGCAAGGTGATCCATAAGATTCTTGCATTAAATGGCAGCTCTATTTTCGGTTCTGGAACTCTCAGATATTAAAAAGGATCACCTGTAAAGTCCTAGCATTTTATTTTTGATTGGTAAAAGGGGTTGCTGTTTCTCTAAAGAAAAAAGCATAATGGCTACAAGGTTCAAAGAGACTGGGTAATAGAAGGTGAGGTCTAGAAATGCTTATTTTGAAAATTGCCTTAAGGTCCAAAAAGTAATTATTTCTCAGTTTCTAATTACTCAATTATGGATAATTTGAACATGATGAGAGTGCTATTTCTGACCAAAACTGTGAGATTCGTCTTATGCAATTATATAATTATAAAAACAATGTGGGTCCATAGCTCCCAAATTACTTGAACTGTGATAATTTTGTTATAAGAATAATGCCTTTAAAATGACCTCTTTTATTATATTTCCTCTCCCAAGAACACCAGGGGCTTTTCTAAGTAACCAGCTTTTCCAACTCTCCATTCTCCTGAATCTAATTTCAATGTACCCAAAGTTGATTCTAGCTGTTTTGTTTACTTTCAGCTCTGCTCAGATACCAAGATGCTGTGAGCACATGCATGTTTACATATCTGTGTGTCTAGCCTTCCCAGAAGGCCACCAGCCCATTAATACTCACCCTTCGGGCCAAGGACTGAGCAAGAAGATTGTCAGCAAAGCCATTCTAGTTTGCCAACTAATCAGTTGAGTGGTTTTTTCCGACTTTCTTGTCAACCCCCAAAGGTATTCCTTTTCACAAGAGAGAGGCAGAGACTAAATTGCTAGCATTAACTCATGTTTCTGTGCTTACTAACAGAGGAAACCTTAGTTGCTTTCCAAACTCCTGATGGTGGACTAGCAATTCTGCTTTTCCATCTAATGAGGCCAGGATATTGCCATGACTGAACTGGGAGGGAGCAGGATTAAGTCAAGCATCCATTCCAGGAGGAGTTCTAATTGCCCTGTCAATCAGAAGGCTGTGATATACTGCTATTTTTTGCTTAGTAATAGCAATCATTTTTCTGGCCCATGGCTATAATACGTACACATAGGGATGTGGGGAATTCATTTTGATCCATTGCTAGCACTGTACATTCATCTGGGACCCCTAAACTCTGGGTGCAGCAAAATTCTGTGTATTAAAAAAAACCTGTGTCTTATTATATTTGGTGAAGCATGTTCTGAGGTTTGTGCTCCCCAAAGTGCAACACACTGATGAATAAATAGCTCTATTGTTGTGATTCTCTATTCTTGTTCTTGTTGTGCTATCCAGGATGCAATTACACAAGCACCATTGGCATTTTCTGGATAGTTCTTATGATATTAATAATAAAGAGCTACAGGTTCCTCCATTCCCCACTTGAGCTTTTATTATCTAAGAATATTCCAGAGGTTTATCAAGTGTAGAGAAACCCTGGAGAGTTTTATGTATTCTTTCCATAGGGAAAAAGTGTTTCACAAATGGAAAGAAAGGAAAACAGTATGACACTTTTAATCTGATATGATGAAGAACAGCTTATGACTATTACAGTGACAACTAAATTGAGGGTATAGTGTGAACTCTTTATCAATTTCTGTTCCGGAAATTCCTAGAAGTAGACTGATAAGAGAAAGCATGACTGCACTGTGTCCTGTGCAAACCTATAGTACAGATATGCAACCAAAGACCTTGGCTGTTTGCCCACTCAAGACCTGGAATCCTGTAGCATTGTTTTTCTGCAATTAGTAACAGAATTAACACACAAGATACTAGTCACATTTTAGCTACTGTAGCATTACTCTATGCTATAAACCTCTTTCCGATGTCCAAGGTCTTCTTGGAATAAATAAGCCTCACAGCTAAAGTTGCTAGCACCTTCGACTTAAATTTGACTGTTTATTCTTTTTGCCTTATTTATTTTCTTGTTGTTTCAAGCTGTGGTATGTATGTATGTATGTATGTATGTATGTATGTATGTATGAATGAATGAATGAATGAATTGGTCTGTTAGTTGTTCCTTGAACAGATTAACTAAAATTTCCTAGTATCAGGGAGAGGGATAAAAGTTGACAAATGTCAATAAAAAAAAAGATTACTTCTGGAACAATTCATAATCTCTGATTGATTATGTTTATTAATGTTAAATCCCACCTTCCATTCAGGAGCTCCATGTGGCATACATAGCATTCCTTCCTCCTATTTTTTGCCACAGCAATCATCTAATGAGGGTGGAGCTTTGATTGAAAGAGACTAACTGGCCCAAAGTCACCAGTGCTCTCCTGTAGCTAAGACCGGACTAGAACTTGGATTTTCCCTCTCCTAGTCCAAACCTTGATCAGTGTGAATTGTATCCCAGGACATCTGGACTGGAGGGCACCAGGTTGGGAAAGATTCTCTGAAGCTGCCTACTACATGCCAAGGACATTTTTTTATCTTATTCCCAGCAAGAACTGACTTACGCGGTAATCGCTGGAGGTAACATAGAAGATGGGCAGGAAGGCTAGCCAAATGATGCATGTGGTATACATGGTGAATCCAATGAACTTGGCCTCATTGAAGTTTTCTGGACATTTCCTGGTCTTGAAGGCATAGACTGTACACAACATGATCAAGAGGACATTGTAGGTGAGTGAAATTAGCATACTGGAGTCTCGGTTGTTGCATTTGAGGGTGACAATATACCTTTTGTCAGGTTCAGTATCCTTTCGTGTGCCTGGAATCTCCACCATGAGCCAGATAATGGCAATAATGAGCTGGCATGAAATAAGAGCCATGCAGATGACCACTTGGGAGGTGGGGCTTATGAACCGCGGACGCTGCACGCCTTCTTTGACTCCACTGAAAATCCGTGCAATTCGGTTTGTCTTGGTCAAGAGGGCAGAGTAGCAGACAGCAAAGGAGGTGCCTAACCCTAAGCGCCGCAGAGTACAGACCACAGTGGAAGGCTTGGCAATGAAGATAAATGTCATGCTGTAGCACATCAACACTCCAGTCAGCAGGATGTAGCATAGTTCTCGGCCTGATGCTTTCACAATGGGAGTGTCATTATTCCTAACAAAAAAACCCAAAACAAACAGAGTGGACATGAAACCAAGGCAAGAAATTGTGACTGGTCCAATAGCCCAGACATCCTTCCAGTGAATATACTCTTGGGGTAACTCGTAGCATCCATTTAAAGTCCCATTGGGCCAATAACCAAGGCCACAATCTCTGCAAGTAAATTCATCCAACAGAAATTCATATGGCTGGCATGGGATACATATCCAACAGCACATGTCTCCTGGTTGCATGCTCTTCATTTCGTTCTTCTTGCAGGGGTCACTGCACTGGGAAACAGGAATGGAGGTCTTCACCCATGGAATGAGGTTGGTGTTCAGAATGAGTCCTTCTGCCCAGTAGCCTACCTTCTGATAGCGATATCTCCCATTGGCTCTCTGGTAGTTGAAAATATTGTAACGACCAATTCCATCTCCACATTGGTCAAATCGAACCATACTTTTGGTGTCTAGTGATGGTCGAAATGGAGCTGTGAAGTGGAATTGGAAAATTGGATTCAAGTGTGAGAAAAACAACATGATTACAAAATTGAGCTATCCACATGGAAACTTTTGCCCCCAAATTGGTTCTGTTATACTTTGTTATAGTAGTCCTATTCCTTGTGATTTTCATATGGACATAACCTATTTTACACGGGTCTTTTATTTTTTTTTACAGATAGATGCTTATCACCCCCCATGTACATAATTTACTTGCATATTCTCAACAAAGTTGATAGCAATATAATCTGTGCAGAAATCTTAAAAACTGAATTAGACATGGGGAATTATAGGAGCTGAAGTCCAAAGTATCTGAAGGGCATGAGGATTGGGAAGGCTAGCTTTGGAACCACTGCAGAGCAGCCAGAACATGATAAATAATCTTTTAATGTTTCCAAGAAGCTGTGCATTAGAACTATGCAAATATTCAGAAATTGCATTTTTTTGTAGCATGTTAGCACAAACTCCCCCTCTTTGAAACATTCAAACAGCCAGATCCTCTAGAAAGCTTGCTGCTCTATATGCCATTTCCCCAGTTTTTGGTAGTTGTATACATAGACAACATTTCTGCTGGATTGTCAGTGAAGCAGTTTTGTATGTCCCCCACACACATGGAAGAAACAGCCTTTAAAATAGCCACCGAAGCTTTCTAGAAGACATGGCTGCTTAAATGAGTGTTTTTCAAATGTGCAACTTTAAGATGTCTGGACTTCAACTTTCAGTATTCCCCAGCCAGCATTCTGAGAGTTGAAATCCACACATCTTAAAGTTGCCACATTTGAAAAACATTAGTTTAAATACTTTGAGAAGCGATGCTTCCATCACACTGAGATTTTTGTGAAGCATCCCTTCTGAAAGCTTTGCACAGCCTCACTGTGTGTTATATTAGTATAACTTGTTCTAACCTGAAAAATCAGGGGCTCATATTGATTTATTATTCCAGTGCCATGACACTCAAAAGTGAAGACTTAGGAAAGCAAAATTAAATGCAAGTGTGAACTTATCTGGATGTTTGCAATAATACTGCAAATCTCTCTTAAATGGAGATGAATGTCCGTAATTATCTTGCTTTCATGGTAAGATGCAAACAGAACTGTTTGCATCTTACAATGCAAGTCAAATTCTAGGCAGTCAAATCTCCTGGCTTGAGAAAACTACAGTTTGGTCCCATTGCACAAGCATCCTAAACTAGCAGCTGTCATGCCCAGGAGAACAAGATGGTAACATTCAATAAATGAGGGATTTTTTTCTCCATTAATGATGTTAGAGTAATTCACACAGGAATATTTCTGGCAACCACAATGCCAGGCACTTAGAGTAATTCACACAGGAATATTTCTGGCAACCACAATGCCAGATAACTCTATCTTTCAGGATATTTCTGCCATAATCTGCCCTGAGATTGCACTGTGCATTTTAATCTGTGCATCTCCAGTTCTGTTCTCCATGCCCTGATCTTTGCCCCGCTTGTTCCTCATGTTCTTTATTCCTCCCCACAACATTCTACATCAAACCATTATTTTGGCTTACCATCAAAAGTTACGTTGAGCATGAAATCCTTGTAGAACCGCTTCCCATTCACTGGCTTCATGGAATCACAGAGCTTGGTGGCATTGGGACAGAGTGCTTGATGCATGTTATGAAGTGCATGGGCCATTGCATAGACTGCATTGACCACAAACATGATTTTGGATTCCTGTTCGAACTGCCCTGACTTCAAGGAGAAGTGACTGCAGTTCTGGTTGTAGAAACTACACTGGAACTTGTGTTCCCAGAACTCCTGGAACCATGGATTTCGGCTGTTGTTGTAGGGATTGAGGTTTCGGAAGTACACAGCAAATTCCTGTATTGGGTAGGAAGCCAGTTCAATAGTGATAGCACCATCAGCAATTGGCTCACTGCCAGCCACTACACTCTCTAGAGCCCCCCAACCATCGCTGGCCACCCAAGTGAAGGACACATTAATCCTTTGAGCAGCTGCTAACAGCTCCCGAGCATCTTCACTTCGGGTGAATAGCACTACCACTCTTGCACTGGGTTTTTGCATCAGTGCCTTAATCACCCCATCAAAAGTCTTCTTGTTCATAGAACGTCCCACTTTCTCAGAAGTGGCAATGCAGATGTTGCGGGCCCGAGCTTGTTGTTCAAAAGCTTCAATGCCTGTTTCTCCATAGTCTCCTTCGGAGGCCACAGTGGAGACATAGGTCCAGTTGAAGAACCGCAGGATCTCAGACATAGCTTTGGCCTGGTAGAAGTCTGGTGGGACAGTGCGAGCAAAGTAATCATAGCGAGACTTGTCACTCAGCTTAGCACTGGTAGAAGCATAACTGATCTGAGGGATCTGGAACAGCCGTAGGAGATTAGCCACCTGGAGAGAAAGAGATCAAGGTAGAGAGGGAAGATTCTTACGAATAACTGGAAAAAATGAACGTGTAAAGAGGAACAGGACTATTCTACCCACCAGCATGGAAAGTATAATTCACTAGAATAATTTAAGTATAATTTAAGTATAATTCACTAGAATAATTTCCTGCTATTTTTTAAAGGTGATGGAGGAAGAATTAACATTTTTCCCTGTCCTATTTGGGGATCATACAGACCTTCTATAGAGTCTAGTTTGAATAATTGCAACTTAAGGTTCATTTCTGACATTGCAACTAAATATGGTAAAGTTGCTTAAGAATGGCTTACTCTGAATTTATTATAGAATGTTTCTTATAATTGTTTTGCAACTCCCTGCAGATCATCCATAGCTTCTACTTCATAAGCACTTTGGTAGATATCAGAATTTTATGTCATGGTTCTGATCAACCTTCTGCCTTCTGCTTATGCCTTTTTGTCTGGAGAGAAGCATGTTCACTTTATGTTGTATGCTTACACAATTGGAAATAAAAACAAACATAATACTATTACAGTATGCTTTACCTGTAGCATAACACATAATCTTAATGTCTACACTTTCTCTACATCACACGTGAATTAAAATTCACTTGGCTTTTTACAATTCAATATATTTAAAGAGATGGATGAGTTCACTAGTGCAGTGTTTCCCAAACTTGACAATTTTAAGACATGTGGACTTCAACTCCCAGAATTCCACAGCCAGCAACGCTGGCTGTGGAATTCTGGGAGTTGAAGTCCACATGCCTTAAAATTGTCAAGTTTGGGAAACACTGCACTAGGCAAAAGAGCATTTAAAACAATGATTTGATCAGTACCTGACTTCCCAGAAGCATTACATGTGTAGGGGATTTTCACACCACAACAGATCCTCTCATTTTCCCTAACTAATCTGCCAGAACATTGTTTGGCTATTCTACAATTTGTTGTTTGTTTGTTTTTCCTGCTGGCCCTGAAATGTAGAAAAAAAAATTATGGCAAGGGAAAGGAGCCAGGAGTAGAGTAAACTGTGGTGAATGGATTCCCAGAAGCTCTCCAAAAAAGTATAAAACTTCAAGACAATCATTTTGGCTCCAATGTTGTATACCCTGCAGAGAAACCAGGAATAGATGTATTGGTTTTGCAAGCTGTTCTGGAGTTGCACTTGATTTTTTTTTCAAACATCCAAGCTGGAAGGATCACAGTTTCAAAATTTACTCATGATCATAATGACTAGGCTCAGAAGCAACTAAGTGCTATGCCAAATACTTCATCCAGAGATTTGTTGACAGGGAGCTAACATAGTATACTATCTACTTTAATACAGTGTATTTCATATGTGTATGCATATGTACATTCTATATATTCTATATGTGTGTGTGTGTATGATATATAGATGTAGGATGTAAGATGTAAACATATGACGTATGAGTGTGACGTATTTTTATGTATGGTGGGTGGCATGTGTCTTCCTCAATCTCGTGTCCTCTACCAGAGGGCTGGGAATTTGACGGTTCTGCACACAGTATCTTAGTTTTTCCTAGCACTGCATTGTTCTGGACAGAGAACTCCAGTGCTCCTCTCCCAACTTAGGAATCACAGCCTTGATTGTTCCTATGACCACTGGGACCACTTTGGCCTTTACTTTCCATATCCTCTCTAGTTCTTTCTTCAGGCCCTGATACTTCTCCAACTTCTCATACTCTTCCTTCCTGAGGTTGCTGTCTCTTGGCATTGCTACATCTATTACCACCGCTGTCTTCCACAGGTAAGGTTAGTGTCAGCCAGGATTTGAATCTTGGTCTCCCACATTGAATGGTGATGCTCGAGCAATTACATTATACAGCTGCTTCTTTATGCTACTATATATACAATTGTAGTAACAGAACTATATAATATTAAAGGACACTGATACATATTCCATATGCACTTTTTAATTCAGATTCATGCAAAGTACAGGAACTGGTGCTGGAAAAATAATCAACCTTGTGCCACCCAGATGTGCAGAGATTGTCTGAAAATTGCACTTGGCAGCACATAGAAAGAATGACAGGTTGAGGAAGGCAGACCTAAATGATCTTGTCCATCAAAATGAAGAGCACTTAGTGGGATGATTTAATTAATACTAGTTTCTATCACTTTATGTGGTTAAATGAAATTTTAGATAATTTGATTAAATTTAGATTCCCTTCCATTCCCCACCCACCCCTGGTCCTATAATGATGGACCATCTGGATTTTAATACTTACTTCAGATCAACGGAAGTAAGTATTTTGCTGCTGACCTCAACAAGATATGGAGTGGAATTTTTACACGTTTTGTTTAAAAATGGAATGAAATGTTACATTAAGTAGCAGCTGCATATATTTCTGATACAGATTTCAATCAGCTGTTCAGACTTATCTTTGATTCTTTAATGGCCTTGGTAGATAGTTATATACAATTAGGCTAAATTAATTGCATATAAATGTCTATCTTTGTCATTAAAGTTATATTAATAGAAAAACAAACTAGGACTTGTTATATTCAATGAATCACACACAAATTATTTGTTAGGTGCATGTTAGAAACTCTTTATAACGGGGTTGGCAAAATAACAAGTCTATCTTGTTTAGTTAAATGCCTTGCATTGTGGCATCCTTTTTCTTCAGCACTGGTTTTCACACAACCAAGCATATTTCTAACCAAAACTGTATGTGCATTTGTAATGAATATATATATATATATATATATATATATATATATATATATATATATGAAGAGGAGGCACGACCACGAACGCGAAGCCAAAAAATAGCAAGGCAACCCAAAATCTTAAACCCCTCTGCAATTCAGACTAACCTGAGCACAACCAAACAGAACACTCCCCCAGCCAATCAGAGCACAGCCAACCCCCCAGCCAATCAGAGCACAGCCAAGCCCCTAACCAATCAGAACACACCTCCACCCAATCAGAACACAGCCAAGCTCCCACCCAATCAGTTCATACCCCCACTGGCAGTTAAAAGGAAGAAACAGCTAAGACCACACATTGCTGCACGAAGCTGAAAACACCAGCCTGAAGATGATGAATGGGACTTCGTCGAAACGTCGCCAAGACACTTCCAATTTTATGCAGGAGAAAACCCGAACAACCAAAGACCTACAAACCTCAGAAAACATATATATATATATATATATATATATATATATATATATATATATATATCCTTCACTTTTGCAATAAATTGCCTGAAGATAGCAGTTTGCAACAAAATAAATGTTTACAGAGAAAAATGATTTTTAAAACTACTCAAGGACAATCTTCTTAGAATGTCAAGTGTAACTAGGGTACAGATGCAATTTAGGAAAAGCAAAGTCACCTCATGACCAATATAAAATAGTACCGTATATCAACATTCAAAGCCTTAGGATGCTTCTTCCTTCAAAATTCTCCAGTTTCTTCCAGCTCAACCTGTCATCCAGAATGCAATAAAGCTTGCTCAAAACAAGTTGTTCAGCATGAGAATTAAGCCCTTAATGTTTTGGGGATGAAATCGTTTGCTTTCAAGTCATGTTTCTCATTGACATTATTTCTCTGGTGGTGGGAAGTCACCCTCCAAATTGTTATGCGGCAATATTTCATAGATTAATGGCATGCTCTAATTCTTCCAAAGTCGTCCCAATATAAAACCCTGCCTCAGAGGAACACAATACAATGCCTCTTATCTCTCTGTTACCTCAGATGATATGGCAAGAAGCAGACTGTGTCTCAGAAAAAAACATGACTCCATAGAAAGATGAAAAACAGCCATAAAGACTGATATCCAGATCCTGCAATATTTCTAGCTCAGGAAGAAGCATTAAAACTAGAGTTGAATGGGCTTGCTAAATCAAACTACTGCCATTTCTTTACTCTTGGAGAGCCTTCCAATAATCTTAGCTGAAAGTTTACCAGTCTTAACTGCAGAAGGCAAATAGGCATAAGTGCAACCAAGAAGGCAACTGGTGTTTTCATAGAACATGTAAATGGTAAGGACCCATCTATTGGAACAATTTGCCTCTCGTATCAGCTGTGGTTACCCCCTACTGCCTTGATGTCCATTTTTCATCCCAGTAGAAGCAGAGTATAAATAGAGCCAGGAACAGAAGAGATGCTACGGCTAAAATAGTAATGTTTTGGAAAGTAAGAGGACTTGGTTGCTTCTTCAGAAGTTGGCTTCTTCAAGCATTGTTAGGAAAGACTCCTACTGTATCTATGATAGTGGCTAATCATTGCAAGTCATCTTAAGAGCTGAAGTCAATGTACATCAATTCCTGGCTCCATTTTGGACAGCTTAATAGCTAATGGTATGCATGCTCATTCAGAAGTAAATTCTAGGGGATTTTGAGTGATTTTCCAATAAATATAATTCCATAAGGCAACCATTGTGTGCGGATGTTGGACTGGCCTCAGGGATCTAATCTACTTTCAGCCACAGAAACTCCCCGGTCAGTCATTCTCACTCAGCCCAACCTTTTTCATAAGGTGATAATTGTGGAAGAGACTTGGACAGATGCTCCCTTGGTGGGATTTATATCTCTTAAATATCTAAGGGATTTATATCTCTTAGGTATAAATCTAAGTAAGTGTGTGTCTGTATATGTGTGTAGTCCAATATTCTAGACCCTTTGGATTATAACATTTTTAAATATTTAACCTGTTGTGCTGTGTAACTGCTTATGAAAAAGAAATACTATATTAATTTCAGCATAATATTGTTTTTTTTTAATTGAGAACTGACCAAAAAGGCTTGTCTGCTATGTCATGTGCTTTGGCACCTGATTATGAGCCCAGCAAGCTGGCATATTCCATAATGGTAATTAAACAAATCATTGTTTGGTTTGACACATGGATTGAGTCAAATTCTACTTCCAAAACTACAATTTCCTTCTATCAAAGAACTTCTGTATTTTTCACCAGTTTTCTGCCAGGCCCTTCAAATGCTCAGCCAGTTACATCAAATTGATGAACAATTTTAAATGTCTACTCAAAAGTGCCATTGAATTACCCATTGAAAGTTGGTGTAGAACTGAGGAACTGATTGTACTTGAAGTAATTTAACTGGAATTGATGTAACTAAGATTATCCCTGTTGATGGCAACAGATTTACTCACTATACAACTACATTTAGTTCCAACCCATTATGCAGCATTAAAGAAAGCTTAAATCTATTGACTTTCCACCTAATTTAGGACCGCCCCAGAAGTGGAGAAAACCAAGAGCAGTAAAATATTTGCTAGTAGTAGTTGCAATGTGCTCCAGAACTGTTGCAGATGGCATCCCTGTGATCTGCAGCTCTAACTCTCCACTTGCTCCAGATGCTCTGCTTGCTTTCTTCAAAGAGGAGAAATCCTCACTAATGAGGTTGTTAAAAATACTGACTACAAAAGAGGCAGGCTAGAGAAAATTCTTCATTTCTGTGGAGGGGAGAGCCAGCACAGGCTTCACAGTTTGGGAGGTGTCAAAAACCTTGCTGCATAATTAACATAACAATTAATTTGAAGAACAAAACTACATTCTCTAACTGCAAGTAAAGACCCAAGGCTACAAACAGTCTTTCAATGACATTACACATCCAACATTATGGAATTTCACCTAAGACTAAGGAGTGCCAGATCTGGTCTGCAAGAACCTGGAGGACCCTAGATATTAGCCAAGAAATTTTGATATCTGGTTGGCCATTCAGATCTTGGAAGATCGATCTGGCTAACAGCAAAAACCTCATGTTTAACTAAATATGTAGAAACAAACTGCTGTGATTCCTTCATCCTTGATTTTACAATATCTAATTTTTACAATAATTTTGAATTACTGTGTCCTTGGTGAAGCCTGCAAAGTGAAAATTTTGTTCAGTCTCCATGAGCAACTAGGTCCACAACACTTGGTGCTTCTGCAAAAAATGCAGCTTTTTGCTTTTGTTAATGCACAAATGTGGAGGTCTAAATTGTCTCAGTAACATTTGGGGGAAAGTAAACGGACATTTTCATTGAAGTAGAAATGTAACTCTAAAAAGAATACTGTACTAGCTCCAGTTAGTTGCATGTAATAATCCTGTTTTATTTGCTAGACATTTTTATTTTTAAGTCGTAGAAAACACAGAGCAGGTAGATGCCTGGAGAAATAGTTGATTGCATTACTTGCTCTACTGTAATAATTCTTCTGGCTAACAGAGAAGAGAACTAGTGATTTATTTCAAAATGAAGCAAAGGCACTTTAGTTTTTAAGCACTAATATAGCTTGTCTGGAGCCTATCAAGTACAAAGAATACCTTGAATTAGATGTCTATGGATACAAGGCTTAATGGAAAAATAATGAATTCAGTAGCAGAAACTGGAAAATTTGATTGAATGGTCAGTCTACAGTAAAAAAACTTCAAACTGCTGGATTTCAGGTTACCAAAAAATCCGGTTTTATCTCTGTGGCCAGAATCAAAATCATGAGGTTTTATTCTAGTATAGTAGTTACTTTATTGATGAGTGCCAGGAAGTTTATTAGTAAGATTGCTTCCCAGATGCTCAATAGAATTATTTTTAATTGCTATCAAGTACCTAAGAATCTCCCTTCATTTTATCTCCTCAATAACAAACCATGGATTGGGCTAGCTAGGCTGAGAGCTATAATGCAATGAACAACATAGTTAAATGGAAATTCAACTTTGAGTTTTTCCAGTCCAGCACCTTAATCCTTAGACTGAATTGCTATATATTTTTACAGTTGTGTTTATTGCTGTTTCCTTCCTCATCATCTTTCTCTTGTTGTTCTTCCATTTCTTTTGCATTGCAGCAAAGTTCATCAATGCATAATGTGACCAAGAGTTTTGTTTTTTTAGTTGGCTTGATGCTGAGAGGAAGTGATTGGCCCAAGGGTCACCCAGCTGCCTTCCTTGCCTAAGGAAGAACTGAAACCTGGGCTTTCCCATTCCTAATTCAGCCACACTACACCCATTTGGTTCTCACATGTCCTTTAATGTAATGATTGCTATATCTAGACTCAGCGTGGATTCTCTCACTCAATCCACTAAACTATTCTGGGTTTCACTTCCTTAATACAGACTGTTTCTGTTCCTCCATCCTCGCATAATCCAGATTTTGATTTAGAAAGATCATTATACTATCTATGCTAAATATTACAAAAAAATGAAATTCTCCTTCATTTTAGCATTAGTTTCTTAAGTCTTCTAAGGAATATAGAAACAATGATATAAAATTAAGTTCTATACCCTGCTCCAAGAAAGAAGTGTATGTCCACCGGTTTCTATGGCACATGCATGCTCCAATATAATCTTAATGCACCAACTAGAGAACTAGCTCTAGAAGCAATTCTACTTTGCCCAGATTCCTTCTTAACTTAGTGACAGTTGGAGTGATGAGCTCATTGTGTGCATTATGACATCATGGATTACAAAACAACTTGATGCTGCCATTTTAAGAGAACTTCAACAGTTGGAATTAAATTCTTTCTAAACAAAACCTGTCTTTTTCTGAAAAAATGGCAAGTAAACCAAAGGAAGAAAGTTTGTGGGAAAAAATAAAAGTAAGTGACATATGGATAACACAATAATAAAATAACAGAGTTGGAATGGACCTTGGAGGTCTTCTACTCCAACCCCCTACTCAAGTGGGAGACCTTATATCATTCTGGACAAATGGCTGCTCAATCTCTTTTTAAAAACCTCCAGTGATGGAGCACTTACAATTTCTGGAGGCAAGTGGTTCTACTGATTAATTGTTCTCACTATCAGGAAAATTCTCCTTAATTCTAGGTTAGATCTTTCCTTGATAAGTTTCCATCCATTACTTCTTGTCCTGCCCTCAGGTGGCTTGAAGAAAAGGTCGACTCCCTCTTCTCTGTGACAGTCCTTCAAATATTGTTCACACTGAGCTCCCAAATTGGCTCTGCTTCTTCTAGTGACATTGAAACATCGCCAATGTTCATCTCTTTGAACTCTACGAAGGTTAGGAAGTTTAGTTGTGTCCCCTTATTCTTCAAACATTGTCCATCTTTGTTTGATTTATTGTTGATCTAATTATAATTGGATGAATACTTGCAACATGTTAATCCAAAACCTGATTTACAAATTATATTGGTTTAATATATGTGTAAAAATGGCTTACATGACTCATTAAGCTAAAACCAAATAGCATTCTGGTTTAATGCAGTGGGAATCTTATCTATGATGGAATGACTTGCTAGCAGATTTTTATTTGAATCTGTATTTCCACCATGAGAGATCCTCCTGAAAGTTGACCAAAATGCCTTATCCATCTCAACTTTTATCACACCATATATCCTTTCTAGGCAACTAACCTTTGGCTAGATCAGTGGTTCTCAACCTTTTTAATGCCGCAACCCCCAACCGGTCGTAAGTTGAGGACTACTCAACCGGTCGTAAGTCGAGGACTACTCAACTGGTGCAGCACCGTTTGCAGAATGGGACTTTTGGCGGGCTCAGCAGGGCAGAGACAGCCTGGACAATTCCTATTGGCTTTTGAAAGCCAATAGAATTAGACTCTATTCAAGAGAGTCTATTCTATTGGCTTTCAAAAGCCAATAGAATAAAAGGGAGTAGCACAGCTAAGGAAAAGGGGAAAAAATGGCGGACTGCGTTGTTTGGCGACCTCCGTGAAATGGTCGTTCGACCCCAAATGGGGTCCCGACCCACAGGTTGAGAACCACTGGGCTAGATCCATCTAGATTCCTAACTGGGTCAAAAGTGAAGGCAACATATTAGACAAATCCACCAATTAGTACTGATGCATAAGTGGGACAATTTTTAATCCCACTGGGGATCTTGTCAGTCAGATTATCTTTTCTTAGTCAACATGCTGGGTGATCCTAAAAAAAAGGATAAGGATCCTAAGGATCATATTACCCAAGACCCCACCCACCCATCCAAACAGTGAATCTTGGCCAACCTATCCACTAAATATTTAGGGAAATCCCCAGATCCCTCTGGAAGTTCATTGGGTAGAACAGTTGTCTGGGGTGGGCCAAGTGAGTCTCTTTTCACAGGGGAGGGTAACACCAGTGAGACAGAAAGCAAATCAGAAGTAATTTGTCCAGAGCAATCAACTGAACACAGAATATAGAATAATAGAGTTGGAAGGCACCTTGGAAGTCTTCTAGTCAACTCCTGCTCAATTAGGAGACAAACAAGTGGCTGTTCGGTCTCTTCTTAAAAGCCTCCAGTGATGGAGCAGAGATCGTATACTTCTGAAGGCAAGCTATTCCACTGGTTGATTACTCTCACCATTAGGAAATTTCTCCTTAGTTCTAGGTTGTTTCTCTCCTTGGTTAGTTTCCATCCATTGTTTCTCATCTTGCCTTTTGGTGCTTTGGAAACAGTTTGACCCCTCATCTTTGTAGGAGTCCTCAGATATTGGAACACTGCTACTATGTTGCCCCCCCCCCAGTCCTTCTTTTCATTAGGCTAGACATATCCAATTCCTGTAACCATTCATCATGTTTTAACCTTTTTCTTGCCTAAGTGTAAAATCTTATTTTTATCTACACTGGATTTCATTTTGTTAGATAGGGCCCAATGTTCAAGCTTGTCAAGATCTTTTTGCATTTTGAGCTTGTCTTCTGAAGTGTTGGCTATTTCTGCCAGCTTATTGTCATTTGCAAATTTGATGAGTTCCCCTTCTATTCCCTCGCCTAGATTGTTTATGAAGATATTGAAGAGTACTGGGCCTAAAACGGAACCTTAGGGTACCCCACTGCTTACTTCACTCCATTTGGCTGTAATTACGATGAGGACTACATATTGAGTACACTTTGTCAGTTAACATTAACTGCATTAACTGATGTTAATGACTTCCACTATCTGATCATATCACTGCCTTGAGACAATGTGATCTACACAGATCTAATGTGCAGCCACACACACACACACACATATATAAATTCTATCATTTATTTGGGATAGGTCCATGGTTACCATGGAAGCCATAAATTTCTAAGCTGCCTTGGACTCAAAGCCATGAAGCAGCAAATTGAATTTCCCAACCAGCGACAGCCTCAGGGACTCTATTGCCAGCCCAGCAATGAAACCTTGAGTTCTGGTAAAGATGATAATGAGCAGCAGCAGGGATGGCAGTACACCTGCAGCAATCCCAACTGTTCCCTTGAAGTCAACTTTTATCTGTCCCTCATACTCAATTTATCTGGATTATCTGGACAGCAACGCTTTCAAGGGCTTTCAAAGACTCATGGATGACAATAGCCACCCCATCCAACCCTCTCAGTTAGTCTCAGTAGATGTAAAACCTAAAAATCTCTGGGCCCAGCCAGGTCTCAAACATGCGAGATTGGTACCCTTATCCATGACAAGGTCATGAATGAGGACAGCCATATTACAAACCAACCTCAAAAGTATAGCTGGACCCTAGGGTCACTGAGGATCTAATAGCCATGCATCGAGAGTGGAAACTGAGGGCCACACAGTATGACAGTTTTCAAGCAGTAGACCCAGTATTATTTAATGTAGTGCACGCTGGGTTCTTGTCACACTTACTTCTGTCCATCATCATCATCCTGATGTTCCTTCCTGTCTTCCCCAAATAACTCCCTCCTTATTCCTTCCTGCTAGATCAAAGACACATTCACCAATTTATCCCACCCATATTATACATTCACAAACCAAAGCCCTGAATGTCTCCTGGCTACAATTGCACAAGCACTTGATGGCTTCAAGGGAGACAAGCCCTGCAGAGAAAATAATGTACCCAAAGACCCACCAGCCACTCACACTGCCCATAAGTGGGGAACTTCAGAACTCTGAATGATTAAGAGGACTGAGGTGACGCCAGGTCCTAGCCAGAAACTCTGAAGCCCAAAAAAGAACTAGAGCCAAAGCGGTGGCTTCCCGCAACATTGGTAGTCCTTGAGTCAGGACCACCAATGGCCTCCAAGTAAGCAAAAGAGGTCCTAGTAGAAAATACACCACCATCCCTAGTGTTGCCAGGCACTATACAACAATCATCAGCCCCCTGGGCCCCATCAGGCCTAAGGCAAATCACATTAAACATCCGAGGATGCCTGTCTTGCCACAGCAAGCCCTAAATACCTAACAGTCCACAGCACCTTCTTGTCACTGTCAGCTTCAAAGATGTTCCTGGCTCCATTAATTCTGGCAGAGTCCCAGGACTCCAATGTGATTTCCAGCACCAGAGATAGCTCTGCTTCCCATGCATCCTCCAGCCTTGCCTGCAGCAGTCAGATTTCAGATGCCCATTGGGTTTTGTGGTGGGCCAGGGTTCTGGTGAGTGTTTTAACAGCCACCCAGCCCAGCTACCATCAGTGACAGAGGGCTAACTATTGTAACCATGGTAGTTACAAGGCTCCACAACAAAACAAACATAATCAACCAACCCCATAAGCCCAGCAGACTCCCTCATGAACAATCAACACTTCTGGACACTAACAATGTGTCATGATGGGCAATTTGGAATTATGAGCCTGAGGATCTCTCTTCTTGATTTGACAGCATGCTCCCAGGTTGAAAAAGTTGTTGATGCCAATTGTCTCCAAGTGGCCATGTTGCCTACCCTGCTTTTGAGTACAGTCCAGATGAGCATTTGCTCAGGCTGGTTATTCTCTGCTGAATTTTCTTTGCTTCAGAGGAGGATGAACTAAGCTAGCATTCTGACCCTGAGGAGAGAAACCCTGGCAAAAGCTTAGGTAAAGGGATACTTTGAGAAGGGAAATTTTATAGTCAGGAGCAGTGGAAAGACTGGACCATAAACACTTCCAGTTTCTATCCTTTCCAAATCCTGGCCTATTTGATTGCTTGGAGGAGCAGTGACATCTCCTCTGGCAACTGGTTGGGAAGAGTAATAGTGAACCGAGAGGATGTATTGGCATGTTGCTGGAGGCCACCTCTTTGGCTCAGCTCTAGCCAATGTAGATGTCCTCCAAGGTATCATCAGACAATGAATTTGTGTGATGCTTTTGGGAAATAATAGATGGGAGGAGAAAAGGTTAAGTTAGAGATCTGTTAAGACTAGGGAGTTCTTGATGGAGTCCATGAACTGCATCTTCTCTGGTAAAAGAGGTCTGTTCCTGGGAATGGAGCTCTCTCATCCCAGAAAAAGCATCATCCAAATCTTCTAGCACTACCTCTAAGATAGGAAGGTACAGTAAGGAAGGAGAAAAGAAATCTAAGGATTACCATGTGTGTTTCTTGCATTTTGAAATGAGCTGGTAAAAAAATAATTTTTAGATTTCTAGGCATACTGTTAGGAACTATGATCAGCAGTTCTTTCCAAAGAAATGGGATAAAATATTTTCACATTATAGAGCTGGTGGATTCTGAGTGGCATACACATTAGATTTTTCCAAGTCACCTGACTCTTGTGAAGTGTGCTATTCCATATTAGTTTTGATATTAAAAAATAAGACATTTTGCGACCTCGAAGGTCAATTTTATTATCATAGATAATTACAGTCTTATGAAATGGGCTACAGCCCATGAAAGCTTAAGCTATATGTGCAGTAATAAAATGGTTTGTCTTTAACATGTAAGAAAACTTATTTGCTTTTGGAGCTATAGACTAGCCTGGCCATCCCTCTGGAAACTTTTCTGAAATAGTGATATTAGATATTTGTTCTCTTTTTGATGGAAAGCTGATATAGGTAGTCCTCGACTTACCATCACAATGGAGCCCAAAAATTTCTGTTGTTAAGTGAGACATTTGTTAAGTGAGTTTTGCCTCATTTTATGACCTTGCTTGCCACAGTTGTTAAGTGAATCACTGCAGGTGTTTAATTAGTAACACAGTTGTTAAGTGAGTCTGACTTCTCCATTGTGGCTTGTCAGAAGGTCGCAAAAGATGATCACATGACCCCGGGACCCTGAAACCATCATAAATAGGAGCCAATTGCCAAGTGTCTGAATTTTGATCACATGACCCTGGGGATGCTGCAATGGTCATAAGTGTAAAATAAAGTCATAAGTAAGTCGCTTTTTTCAGCACCGATGCAACTTTGAAAGGTCATTAAATGAACTGTTGTAAATAGAGGACTAGCTGTATATGGCATCTTTATATAAACAACTTTGAAAAGCTTTTGTTCCCTACTAGTAGAATTAGTCGCTAGCCTGTATTTGCCCAAATGAAGGAAATTCCAAACTCTATCTTAAACCAGTACATGAGTGAGTAAGAAGCATTTTGGGAAGCTAAAAATCATTTCCCTGTGAAGATAGAGTTGAGTCTTAGTGATTAGATTTGGATACATCTACTACTTAATTTGAATTAGTGGGTCTCTAGGCCCAGACATAATTTTGATTGCCAGCAGTCAGCTCTTCCGACATACAAAAGCAGTTCAAAGGTATGTTTTACTCACTGCTTAGCAGTCACAGCCACATAGACCTGAAATGGACACCTGAATCTAGAAAGGATCCTGTCTATCTCCATCCAACACTTCTTAACTAGATGTGCTGATACACGATGCTTGAGATTTCCAGGCAGCATTCGAAATTTATGGGAAGTACGGGGCAGGAAAGGATGGACTCACCAGTTGATTCATTATCACCACTTTGTTCGTCAACCTTTTGAAGTATTCAAAAAATACACAATGACACCTATTGATAATTATTGATAATTAACCAATTATCAATTGATAATTGATCATTTTTAATGTGTGCCATTGTGCCCACAGGAAAAAAATGACAATAAAGGTTATCTATCTATCTATCTATCTATCTATCTATCTATCTATCTATCTATCTATCTATCTATCTATCTATCTATCTATCTATCAGCCCTTAGGTGTTTTTGGCAGCACGGGACTTGGTGTTTCTCAGTGCTCTCCTTCTGATATCTCTAAACGTTTTGAAAATTTAATTGTTATCTCATTGTCTCTTCTCTCTGCAGAAGAATTTCCCCTGGGCCAAAAAAGAGGAACCACCACCACCACCATCACGAGCAGCAGCACAGACTAAACAGGTTTCTGCACAAAAGACATTAGAGGTACTGGTCAGAGATTTGACGTTGCCAATTTTGAGAATATCAACTATGTGACTATCCATTAAGGGGAAAAAAACTATAGCATCTGTGTTATACCAGAGTGTTATATTGTCATGTACATAAACAAACATTCCTATGGAAGCTAAAGAATATTTTGAGTGCATCCTTTCAGTCTTATAAAAGGGTACATTTAACCAAGAGTAGATCTGAACACAACTCTCCAGTCAGGTTTTGAATTATATGTGAGAATCTGTGCCCCATGCACTGGGGAAATGATCTTAATAGATCTTGGAACTTGTGATCTAAGAACCCCAAGGAGCCCTTCAGTGTATTCATTTCAAATGTTATGTCTCCATAGAGGGTAAGCTTAGGCTAGCAATATCTAGACTCAATTTTACTTGAACCAACTGAAAAGAAAAAGCAGAAGCAAACCTTGATACACTGCGGAGGGCCTGCTCCTGACACTGCCTGAAACATGGCAAGAGACATATTTTAATAGAGGCAGAGTGAAAGGCAGAATGGATTTAGCACTGGAAAAAAGAATTTAACCACTCTGATACATTACACCAATGGCCTAAGGAAGGCAACATTCTCTCTGTGGTAAGTCAGCCCCCGCCCCAGAGAAAGAAATATTTTTGGGAATATTAAAAGGCAGAATATTATATTTCCCCAAAGGATTTTGAAGGCAGAACCCCCCCTCCCAAATCTCTCTGCCCCAGACAGAAACCAGGTCTGCAGAAATGCAGATGTGATAATCTTGTCAGAAAGATGGGAGTCAGGAAGCTGGGATTAGAAAGAAAGATCTCTAGAATCAACAATTCCTCACATCAAAAATTCCAACAGTCATCAGCCACAGCCCCAGGGAAGAAGGATATGACCTTTGGGACATAATAAGATTAACCCACCACCATCAGAATACCAGAAAGACACACTCAGACTCAGGTCAAAGTACATGGCACAGGAAATACAAAGCCTCAAATAGGAACATGAAACAACCTCAAGAGCCCCAGAAGGTATAAAAACCCAACCCTCCCTGCTATATGTTGTCAGTTTTTTCCAGAGCCATCTTTCTTGTCTGGCTCTCCTCTTCAATAAACTACAACCTTCTTTCTAAAGCAGTCTCCATGTTGTTTATTCTCGACTTGAACTGGCCCCTGATGAAGATTTTTCTTTCAACACTTCTTACGGTTGTCAACACCAAATTTCTGCAGGTGTGCCTACAAAATTTAGGGCAAGAGCACTCTTCTAATGAGATTGGTACTAGAGAGGTATTGTTCTGACTCAGAAGGTAATGTGTTGCCATTGTGACTAAAAGCTTTTTATACAGGTAGATCTTGTTCACTGACTGACTCATTCAGTGACTCTTTGAAGTTACAATGGCACTGAAAAAAATAACTTAATGACCAATGCCCACATTTATGACTCTTACAGCAATCCTCAGTCACATGATCACCATTACAATCAGTATACATTGTCCTATGCCTGACCTGTTGTTTTGCCCCCCTGCCCCCAGCTTTGCGGAGCAGAGAAATTGAAGAGAAAGAGAATACGAAAGAGTAAGCAAGCAAGCAATGGGGAGTAGACTAGCTATTTGCGTAGTGTGCCCAAGGCTGCTGGTGCCATCGCATTCCTTTCGATGTGGCATCCGTTGTCTGCCTGCTTACTTTCTTGTAATCCTTTTTTCTCAAATTAATGTAAATACAAATGTTAGTTCTGTTCTTTCTATTTATACCACGCAGTAGTGAGTTTTCCAAAGGATAGGGGAGTTTTGAAAAGAAAAGCACAGTCACTGTCATCTGATTTTCCACTTAACAACTACTTTGCTTAATGATAGAATTGCTGATCTCAGTTGTGATTGCTAAATGAAGACTACCTAGTAGTTTTATCTTCCATGCGTATATTCAAGTCAATGGCTAGCTGCATTGTTGTTCATATGCAGGTCATGTACTTTCAACCAAATTCAAGTTGCTGGTTCTCACCATATATTGCTGATAGCCAGACTGGTTGTTATTGTTGTTATTGTTATTATATTAATACCTAATATTAAAATATGTAATGTTAATATATTCTATAATAATAAAATAATAATATTAATTAGCTTTATAACATCAGTAATATAAGAATTGGAAAAGACCAGAAATTGTTAAGTTCTGAAAATTGAAATTGACAGATTATAGCATAAACCAGTCCAGGAAGTCTCAGTGGTTATCAGCACAATGAATGCCATACCAAAAATCTTGAACTGCATTTAGAAAATCTGTTTATTGACAATATTTCCATCTGTCAATTGCAAAAGGCCACATTGTTTGGATCCATACTTACACTGATATATTACGACAACCAAGATTCTTGGGAAGGACTTGATGCATATGAAGGTCCATAGCAGCTAAAGAACTCTGAGCTGTGATTTCACATTATAATAATAATGAACACCATCTAGCAATATCTGCCTATCTTAGGTCCTTGGAAAGGATTTAATCGGTGGATAAAAATGCCAAATCCACTCTGAACATCTGGCTGACTATGTGATCAACCAAAATAATAGAATATCTGCTAAAGTTCGTATCTTTTCAGAGATGTGATAGAGGGGGCCTGAAAGCAAATGTTCTTTTGGAGGATTGTCCAAAATAAATAAATGCATTCTGATTTCTTGTTTTTGCACCTTCTCCAGATATAAAGCATAATTTCTAGACCTGGAACAAGTTTTCCCAGTGTAGCTACTCGTTAAATTAAAAAGTTATGCAACAATAAACATGGAAATGAATCAAAACCAGGCAGAAGCAAACCATTTACAAAGCGTGATTAACTTAATATCTTATTATAATGATTGAAAACAGAATCCCCACCATAGCCTGACATAGGGATCAATTAATTATCAATCAACCAGTTTGGTCTAGTGCAGGGGTAGGCAACCTTGGCTCTTTTATGACTTGTGGACTTCAACTCCCAGAATTCCTGAGCCAGCCATGCTGGCTCAGGAATTCTGGGAGTTGAAGTCCATGAGTCATAAAAGAGCCAAGGTTGCCTACCCCTGGTCTAGTGGTTAAGGCATTGGGCTAGAAATCAAGAAACTGTGAGTTGTTGTTGTTGTTTTAAATTATTTATTAAATCTCCCTCTCCCCAACAGGCAATTTCTAGATTAGAGATCTAGTCCTGCCTCAGGCATGAAAGTCAACTAGATGACTTTTGGCCAGTCTCAGCCCAACACACCTCACAGAGTTGTTGCTGTGAGAAAAATAGGAGGAAGAAATATTAGTTGTCTTGTCTTAAACGATCACATAATCAAGAATCACCACTATATAAAAAAGATGTTGAGACTCTAGAAAGAGTAGAGAGAAGAGCAACAAAGATGATTAGGGGACTGGAGGCTAAAGCATATAAGGAAAGGCTGCGGGAATTGGGTATGTCTAGTTTAATGGAGAGAAGGACGAGGGGGGACATGATAGCCATGTTCCAGTATCTCAGGGGCTGCCACAAAGAAGAGGGAGTCAAGCTATTCTCCAAAGCACCTGAAGGCAGGACAAGAAGCAACGGATGGAAACTAATCAAAGAGAAAAACAACCTAGAACTAAGGAGAAATTTCCTGACAGTTAGAATAATTAATCAGTGGCACAATTTGTCTGCACATGTTGTGAATGCTCCAACACTGGAAGTTTTTAAGAAGAGATTGGACAACCATTTCTCTGAAATGGTATAGGGTTTCCTGCCAGAGCAGGGGGTTGGACTAGATGACCTCCAAGGTCCCTTCCAACTCTGTCATTCTACATAGCCCCCCTGAGATAGTTATAAAAAAAATAAAAAAAGATAGGATGTAAATATAAATAAGTATGGATATGCCCAGAGTATGTTTAAAAAGTCAATTTGATGACCATGACCATGTGCACATTTTTGTAGCAAGGCTTGTTCCAGAATGAATCCAGGAAGAACAACAATCAGAACCCTTGTTTTTCTCTACTGGGTAAAAAGATGCCAGAAAAAATTAAGTTAAAATGACCAACATCCCATGAAATCAACAATTGACATGTGGAGTTGTCCAGGTATGTAGGTACAATTGGCATAATAGTATCCACTTTTTGAGACGTTTGTCCCCTCTAGTCCAGAACAACCATATTTTAAATTTGTAGTTTCCGTCTTTTGTCTCTTTAATCTTGTGCAGCTGATGGAAACAATTAAATGGAACACTTGACTATTTGGTGCCACTTTCTCTCTCTCTCTCTAGCCAGGAAGAATTTTTCTGCTGCTTTTGGTTATATTCTACTGACACCCTCTTAATTGTTTCCTCTTCTCAGACTGCTCTCTACCTCCAAAGCTGGTGGCGAGGTACGCTGGTCCGGCGTTCTCTTTTGTTTGCCACTCTTTGTGCGATGTCAATCCAGAGATGGTGGCGCCGACGGGCCTTCCAGCTCAAAGAGGAGAGGAGGATTAGGGCCTTGATGATGTATGTTTGGCCCGAGAAGTCGACCGTCCTCTTGCAGTCAAAGTTAAGGATGTGGCTTACACAAACTCAGTTCAAGAAATATCAAAAGGCAGCCCAGGTTATTCAAAACAACTGGCGGAAGTATGTTCTTCAGCAGGAATTCAGCAACTATTCACTCAACAACCTGACTTATGATGGCATAGATTTGAATATTGACATTATTGTTGAGTAACAAGAACTCAGGAACAAAGGAGAAAAGTACTTGTAGAATACAACTCAAATAAATAAATAAATAAATAAATAAATACATAAATAAATACATAAATAAGTAAGTATGTAGGTAAGTAAGTAAATAAGTAAGTAAGTAAGTAAATTTCATTATGTTTTGACTGGAACTGATTGTTAAAGCACATTTTTGACACCAATATTTATTTGGAATGTTTGGAATGGAAAGCCAGAGTTTGTAGAGAGTGTATATCTATTTATAAAAGTAGCTTGAAATGGGGAGACACGCATATTTGGACTCTGAGAAATTCTGGGAGAGGCATAGTGAACTAACCTGTCTCTAAAAGAGGAGAGACAATGATTATGGTTTCAGACTGGTTCTATGGACCCCCTCAGGAAGACAGGAGGTCACCCACGTGTGCTGTTTGCAGTGACTGTTGCAAGGAGATTGCAGGATGGTGGTCTTCCATGGGTTTGAGTGCTAGGAGACAAAGGAATCAGCCGTCACACCCACAACCATGGTAGAACCTTTTAAAGGCCTATGAGCCTCATTTTCTCATCACTTTCAGAAATTACCTATTTAACTAAAGGCTATTAGATATCTTCAGAATTGTAAGTTGGAACAGCCACCCTGTAACTTTATCTTTATTCATGAACAAAAGAGAAAAAGTTAAGTTTAGCCATTTAAAGAATTGGAATTAAATGCCAAAAAGCTAAATAAGACTTTAATCCGTGAAAGTTATAAACAAATTAAGGGTCAAAATAAGTTTGAAATTTTAAGATTTTTATTATAAGATTTTGGAACTAATTATAAATAAACAACCTTTATAATCATCATCATCATCATCATCATCTTACTAGGAACTGCTTCCATCCTGCGACAATATCTGTAATACCATCAACATCCACATCTGCCTATCCCAGGTCCTGGGTAAGGACTCAATAGGTAGACAAAATGCCAAATCCAGTCTGAACATCTGGCTGACTGTGCGATGATCCACAATAATAATAATAATAATAGTAAAGTTGGAAGAGACCTTGGAGATCATCTAGTCCAACCCCCTGCTCAGGCAGGAAACCCTATACCATTTCGGACAAATGGCTGTCCAGTCTCTTCTTAAAAACTTCCAGTGTTGGAGCATTTACTGCTTCTGGAGGCAGGTTGTTCCACTGGTTAATTGTTCTCACTGTCAGGAAGTTTCTCCTTAGTTCCAGGTTTCTTCTCTCTTTGATTAGTTTCCATCCGTTGCTTCTTGTCCTGCCTTCAGGTGCTTTGGAGAATAGCTTGGCTCCCTCTTCTTTGTGGCAGCCCTTGAGATATTGGAACATTGCTATTATGTCCCCCCTCGTCCTTCTCTTCGTTAAACTAGACATACCCAATTCCAGCAACCGTTCCTTATATGTTTTAGCCTCCAGTCCCCTAATTATCTTTGTTGCTCTTCTCTGTACTCTTTCCAGAGTCTTTCTAGAGTCTTTCATGGGAACTAAATTGTTTTGTGTATCTTAAGTAATAAGAAAGATATGAGATTTTATGATTTCAGAAACTGGATACCAGAAGGGACTAAAGGTTCCAGGAAAAGAAAAAAAGTGCAGATTTACCTTTTGATCTCAGCTGATGTTGGGATTTACAAAATGATACAAAATGTTTTGACATTTGAAATACTTTAATTTTTGAAGAATGGGATCAGAATAGCCACAATATCAGCACTAATGCCTGCTTCTATGGATAGATTGTGTCTAAAAGATATTAACAAAGGAATGCTAGAAGAAAAACAAATTCTTCTTGATGTAGAAATATTAGAATCAGAAATACTGAATAATAAAAGAAGTGTGGATTACAAAATAAAGAAGGTAGCTAAGATAGAGATACAAATGGCCAAGAAATGATCCAGATAAGGACTTTTTGCTAGATACGCAAAAGAAAGGTCATTAAAGCTTTGAAAACTAAAGTGAAAATACAAATGACAAACTAAGAGAATGACTTCAATAATGATTTCTTATGGTATTAACAAAAGAGATTTGATGAAGCTTCAAAGAAGTTGTTGGAATGAGTAAAAGAAAGATAGATTCCTATAACAACTGAACGAATTAAGCATCAAGATTGTTAGATGAAAAAGGTGAGAATATAAAGATGGTTTGTTTGATCAAGGATAAAATAACACATGTTTTTATAAAGCTAGGGCAACCCTTTACAAACTTTTTGCTGACACCATAATTGAAAAGTTGATGATTTATGGATTTGCATATAGATAAGGCTGCATTATGGAAAGAAGAGATAATCTGTTTGTAACCTTAAAGGGGTGAAGATTTACTAAATTTGTTTGTACTAATTGTGTGAAGTTACTTCCTTCAATATTTTTTCATCTTTTCTTTTATCTTGCACTCTTTATTCTTTCTATCTCTCCCTTTCTGAGTTTTGTTGTATTTGCTTTTAATACAATAATTAAAATCTTCAATTAAAATTATATTAAAAGAGACAGGGTGATGGGGAAGCACACAAACACAAAAAACTGGAAGTTCAGAGATAGAAGTCTCTTGCTTTCAGGGTGCTTCTTCCTTGAAATCAGAAGTCAAATAGTGAATGTTTAGTATCGTATATGCCAGTGGTGGTGAACCTATGGCACGCGTGCCAGAGGCGGCACTTGGAGCCTTCTTTGTAGACACATGTGCCATTGCCCCAGCCTTGCCTCCCCCAGCAGCCCCCCGGAGAAGAGTCATCCCTGAGCATGGCCCACGTGGAGCAGCGCAGCCAAGGACATGGCAGCCAGGCAGCGTAGACAAGACTCTTCCCTCATGCCCCATCATGCACAGTTGATGCTGTGGGGTGCAGGCAGAGGGCGTGGCCTCCATGGCACTGCTGGGCTGCCTGGGCGATCTGCAGCGGGCCTTGGAGGCAGTGAGGGCCCTGCGGGCAGACAGGGCAGGGGATGGGGTGGGGGTGGAGCGGAGTAGAGTGGAGTGGAGTGGGGGCGGGGCAGAGAATGGAGCAGGGATGGGCCAGTTTTTGGGCACTCGGTCTCTAAAAGATTCACCATCACTGGTATATGTAGTCGTTCCACTTGTTTGGACATTTGGGTGTTTTAAGATTGCTGTCCTACCCCAATTATCTGTCCTACCCCACAAGCCCAAAAGTCATCCTTGACCTTCTTACTGCTTGAAGAAATGGGGAATAAGTTTTTGTTGTTGTTAATTGCGAAGTTGTGTCCGACCCATCGCGACCCCATGGACAACGCTCCTCCAGGTCCTCCTGTCCTCTACCATCTTCTGGAGTCCATTTAAGTTCACACCTACTGCTTCAGTGATTCCATCCAGCCATCTCATTCTCTGTCGTCCCCTTCTTCTATTGCCCTCAGTCTTTCCCAGCATTAGGCCCTTCTCCAGTGAGTCCTTCCTTCTCATTAGGTGGCCAAAGTATTTGAGTTTCAACTTCAGGAACTGGCCTTCTAGGACTGACTGGTTTGAATGCCTTGCAGTCCAAGTTACATGTTTTATTTTCTCTAATGGTGCCTTTAATGAACAAGCAAAGTTAGGGCCACAGCTCAGCATAATTAATAAAATCAGCAGGTAAAAGAGAAGCGAGTACTGACGCTACTGTAGTTTCTATATTTCAGCAATTAAGTTATGCTGAGTTCACTGAACCTTGAATCTCAGAAAAGGCTAATTTACATTCTGAAAATACTGAGAAGCAGATCAGAAGCAACTTGGTATATTTCTGCAGTGGGGTTCTGCAATATTGCAGGCTAATCCTGTTAATTCCCAATTGCCAGCAGTTGGGCAGTTCAAGTTTCACCGGTTCAAGGCTGACTCGGCCTTCTATCCTATCGAGGGTCGGTAAAATGAGGACTCAGATTGTTGGGGGAAATATGCTGACTCTGTAAACCACTTAGAGAGGGCTGTAAAGCACCGTGAAGTGGTATATAAGTCTAAGTCCTATTGCTATATCTCTATATCAAGGAGAAAATGTCAAAAGTAGATATACTCATCCCATATCTTGCAATCAACATCACAAAAGTTTTAAGCCACAGTAATCAACAATCTGTTTTGCAGGCCTAAAGAAAAGGAACAACTAGTTTTTCTTTTCAAGTTTCCTAAAAATATTATCATTAATGCACTTAGGCTGCACATATCTGGATGATCCCCAGGTGTTCAAATTTTCCATTTCTCTTTGCCATTATCTAACAGTTATATTTTGCAGCCCAGATATAATAGCCTTATTTTTATCTCATATTTTTGAATCTTTCCCCCGATTGACTCATCTGGAACAAACCTGATGAATTTTGGGCATTAACAAGAAGTTTATTTGCCTAGGATGTTAATGTTTGCTCAGTGCTGTCTTATTATTATGTTTTGAGCTATTAACTTCTATTCTAATTTTTCTGTCATGCCATGTTTTAAATATTGATTTAAATTTTATAAGTCATCTAGATTCTTTTTAACTAGACTTGGAGAACATTTTTTTCAATAATTAAGAGACAACTAGCTTACAACTACCATATAGTTTCTGACATAGATGGACATAGACAGATCTGATGCCATGCTTTATCACTGAACATTTCTCAGAATATTTCTCTTGGGAGGTGATGTAAAGAAGTTGAAATAGGGCATCCCTGCATTGGCTAAACAAAAGAAACTCTACATTTCTAATAAAGTAGGAATTGTTTTATGGTATCTCAAATTAGGTGAGTCAATTGGAATCCAAGTCAAATGGTCTTTCACATCAAAGGAAAAGATCAAGCAGCAACCAGAGAAATCAAGATCAAACTCAGAAGATTCTGCCCATGTGCTCTCCTAATGAGTTAGGATGGTCTATGGGGTCTTTCTAGAGATTGTAATTGATACAGAGCCATTGACAACAAATATTACTGTGGTGAACAGAAAACACCAGTCTCCTTGTGAGTAAGCCATAACAGTAGGGTATAATATGTGCTGATTCTGTACCTGCAGAACATAAAGGCTGCTCTGAAGAAGGTGTGGCCGTAGGGAGATGGCAAAGAGAAGCTTGCAGGGAATCCATTTGCTGGATGACATTTATCAGGCAAGTATAAGCAAGCTCCCCAATTCTTCTGGA